AAAAAAAAAAAAAAAAAAAAAAAAAAAAATTCTCTCTCTCTCTCTCTCTCTCCTCTCTCTTTAAAAAAATAAAAAAATAAAAAATAATAAAATAAAAAAAAATAAAATAGATTTATTTAAGTATAAAAAGGAGGTGGAAAGTCAATTCTAAAAGCTAAGCCTACAGTAAGGAGCATAGAGCACAGATCACAAGAGCAGGCTGAGGAGGTGCGACCTGGAAGCCTGGGCTGAGGGAGACGTTCTCAGGGATGGGGCCACCAGCTCTGACCCTGGCTCAGCCACCCTGCGGGATCCCAGGCCTGGGTTCCCACCATCCTATCCAGGACGGGACACTGCGGGGCAGGCACAGTCCTGGAGCTGCCCGGCCTCTCCCAGGTCCCTTGGCACCTAGGGTGGCCGGCCACTTGCCACAGCACTGGCTGGTTCTGCAAAATATGGGCTGGCTCAGTGTCACCAACTCCCTGGGCACCAGTGACCTTCACCCTCAGGGCCCTCCCCAGTGGTTATGGCCCCACGGCATTGAGAGCGCCACCCAGGCTGGACTCACTATTGGAGACGCGTGATTACATTAGCTCTTTCTTCTTGTTTGAAAAGAAATTAAAATTTAAACATCTTTGGGCGCCCTACAGGTGTGGGCCCTGGGCTGCTGGAGAGGTTGACCTTGGAATGGCCACAAGCTGCTCAGCCCTGAGGACACACAGGGCGATCCCAGGCAAGTTCCTCAGCCTCTCGGTGCCTCCTTTCCCTCCTCTGCTGGGGGACAACACAGCATCATGGCCAAGAGCACAGGCTCCGTGACCACGTAAGGACGTGGCGCAGCTCCTAGGAGCTCCCGTCTCCTCCGTGGAAAATGAACCTAAAGTGGAGTCCAGGGCCACGGCGCACGCCTGGAATCCCAGCTCCGGAGGCTGAGGCAGGAAGATGGTAAGTTCAAAGCCAGCCTCAGCAATGGCGATGCGGTGAGATCCTGTCTCTAAATAAAACACAAAATAGGGCTGGGGATGTGGCTCAGTGGCCGAGTAGCCCTGAGTTCAGTTCCTGGTCCCAAAAACAAAAAAGAATCTAAAGCGGCAAATGTGAATGCGGGGTGACCTGCAGACTCCACAGGGAGCTCAGCGGCTGGGTCCCCAAGGGCGCATCCTGCAGGGTCMCATTTACAGGAAGTTCAAAGTGAAACTCCATTGGGAGGCAAGTAAAGCTACCAGGGAGACAGGACCCTAAGAGCAAGACTGTGAGTCCCTCTGCAGAGGAGGAGGTTAACGGGGACCTGGGGTACGGGCTCAGCTGCTGTCCCTGACTGGTGGCGACCTCGCTGCATCTCCTCCCCAAGCATCCACTGACCTGTTCCTAGACACTTCAGCCAATTTTCTGTAGAAATAATTTAAATCTTTTTTTTTTTAAAGGCAAAATAAGGCCGGGGCATAGCTCAGGGGTAGAGTGCTCAAAAAAATTCGTAATAATGAGGCAAAATAATAACAATAATAAAAAAAAAAACCTCCGACTGAGCACCTATCATGCGCCAGCCACTGTGGTCACTTCTAAGCACGACATCCACACGGAAGAGGCGCTTCACAGAGGGTAGCATTTAGGTACTATTCCTGCCATCATCATTACATACACTCAAGTTCATGATTCTTGTCCCAGAAGGGTGTGGGGGCCTTCATGAGAAGATTCTCAAAGAACCTGGCACACAGTAGGTGAGCAGCTCACAGGCCATGTTTCTTCTGCTTGGCCCCAAACTCAGAAATTCTTCTTGGGCTCCACAAACCCTTCTGCAATGCGCGGCTGGCGGGCTGAGCCCTCTGGGGACCGTGCCCTTGGTGCCCACTCTCACCAGCTGCCGGCTCAACCCATTCTGAGCTGCCCCTGTGCCCGGGCCTCCTGGTGAGCTCAGGCTCCTCAGAGCTCCCATCGCCTGTTGCTGCACCTGGCCCACATCAGGCTGGCTCTCCCTTCTGCTCCTTCCCATCCCTGGTGGAGACGGGTCCCTGTGACTGTCCTCCAAGCCTCACCAAGTACCCAGTCCCATGTCACAGAAGTACATCCAAAAACAGAAATTTGGGATTAATCAGAGTCTTAGAGCTGAAAAGGCTTATCCAAAGATGGACGGACAAACTGAGGCTCTAAGAAGGGGCCACCCTCCCAAAGAATGAACTCGTAGTCAAGAATCTCAGGCCTGCGACAGGTAGTGGGAGGGAGGCTGGAGGGAGGCCGGCAGGAGGACTTCTTCGGTGTGACAATGCTCTCCTACAGTTATTCACTGAGCACCTACTATACGCCAGGTCCATCACACCTAGTACATCTCATTTCCACAAGTATCATTATCCCTTTTCTATGGATCAGACACAGAAGCTCCTACTACTGAGTACCTGCAAGGAGTCCTGCTGGGCACAGGGTTCAGGAGCCTGCCCACAATCCTATGTGAAGGACTTGCCTGAAGTCACACAGCTGGGTGACATGTGCAGCCAGACCCAATTTTCCTAATTCAATTCACATCAAAAGGTTGCAAACAACAAAAAAACTCCACTCCGGTTTTATGAACATTTAGAGGGCTTAGCGCGGTCCGGCAGGCCCTGTTCTAAGCACTTTCTACAAAAGCCTACACAGCCCATGTCTCATGTCTCTCCTTAGTAGACTGCCCGCTCCACAAAGGCAGAGATTTTTGTTTTCTACTATGTTCAACTCCTAGAACTCCACCTGACTCAACAAAATTTGTTGACCAAATCATTTGATCCAATGGACCAGGGAAACTCTGGGAGGTAGGCACTGCCCCGGTTTACAGATAGGAGATCAGCAAGGGTCTGAGCAACAGATCATAGCTGATAAGGGCAGGACCCACCGTGGACACTCCTGAATTGAAAAGACCCCTTAAGACCCTTATTCACTCCACTGCATTTTACAAAAGGTCTTATTTTATAGGAAGATTTTCCGTGAGATTATTTAAAAGGGAAATTCCGAATTCCAAGGTATCTGAAATAAGACCCAGTCTGCCACAACGTTCCTTCTCCCCAACTTTATCTACAAGTTCAGCAGCAGTCCCTAGCGCCCCCTGCCGGAGGACAGCCGCTTGGCAAGGACGCGCGGCGGCTCTGTGTGGCGCTGCTGCCCCCTGGTGGCTGCAGCCTCGGGGAGGCCCGAGGAGCCGTGACGGGCAGCAGGAAACCTGTTCCCGTCCCGGGAGGGGACCCCGTCGTCGGCCAGGAGCGTGTGGTAACTGGAAAGGTCTTCCCGACACTTGCCCTTCAGGTGGCTTGTTGGGGGAAGTCGTGACCTGGCCCGGTGGGGACCATCACCGGGCCCACACCTGTCACTAGAGCGGCCGATGGTGGGAGCTGACCAATCAGAGGCCCCGCATCTCCCCGGCCACGGCGATTGGCTCAGGGATGGCCCCGGATGCCAGCAGGACCAATCAGAGGCTCCTTCCTGACCGACCGACCGAGACTCGAGAGGGAGGGCCTGCGCCTCGTCCCCAAGATGACCACGGCAGGGACGGCGCCTGCCGGAGAAGGAAGCAAGCCACCGAGTGAGGGAAAGAGGGAAGTCACTGTTTCAAATTCCCCTCCCAGTCGCGACACCAAGCGGCTCCTTTCCACCCGGGGCAGCCTGGGCTGAGTTTCTGTCCGTGCAATCAAAAGAGACCTACTACGTTCTGCGGGCCCCTCCACCGCTGCCTCCTCGGGTCACCTTGTTCTCTCCATTGGGGTTTACTGAGTAGGGCCGGGGACCTGCCGCGTGCTGGTGCCTCCACCCTGCAGCCCCCCACCCTTCACCAGGTAACAGGGCCACCCACACCCTCACCTGGACCCCTGCAGCTGCCTCCCTGACTTCCTCTCTGCAAACTGATCACCAAATAGCATCCAAACTTCAGACAGATCATGCTCCTACTCTGTTCAAAACCCTGCTGTGATCCATCTCATGAAAGTGCTCAAGGCCTTACCACAACCTACAGCCCCCCCTCCCCACCAACACCTTATCTTCCTGACCTAATTTCTCCCTGCTCTCCAGCAGTCCTGGTCCTTCTGCTGATCCATGAACACACCAGGCCTGCCCTGCCTCGGGACCGTTGCACTAACTGTTCCCTCTTCCTGACATGTTCTTCCTCCAGGTCTTCATTCAAATGTTATCTTTTCGGTGAGGATGTCCCTGGCATCCCCACCCACTTCCCTGCTTTATTTCTCTCCATTGCACTTAGCAGTATCTGGCCCATTATTTATCTCTCTCTTCTCCCATGAGACTGTGGTGGCAAGTATTGCTGTCTTTTTGTTGTTTCTTGCTGTGTCACAAAGGCCCAGCACCATGCCTGTCACATAGTACTCGCTCATAGTGTTGAATGAAGGGGTGAATGAATGAAGTCGAAGAGGCCAATAATTGCAGAATTTGAAATCAATGTTAGTGAGGTGCAGATGTATCAGGGTGGTAAGTGGGGAGATGGTGGAGTGATCAAAGTGAGGGACATGTAGTAACAGAAATTTAGTTCAAGGAAAAATGTTTATGAATTCTAATTTGAAACTCAGGATTTGCTGGCTTCATTTATCCAACTACTCCTGCTCCTGGGGAATA